TCAAAGGCAGCCATTAGCCTCGCCGCCATCCATCACCGACCGCGAGATCTCACCCAAGTCCACCACGAAAGTGTGACCGATAATTTTTAGTCGTGCTAAGAACGATATATGACTCAGACTAAAGCTCGGAGCCTCTGATTAATGGAGCATTAAAAATGAGAATGAAAAATGCAGATGGTCGATTCCGAGGATGATTGACTGGGGGCGAAAATGGTGAGGCTTTGACGAGGGAGGCGTAATGAGGAGGTGAATAAATATTGTGGAATAGGAGAGATTTGCAAGTTCTGGAAATAGCCTTTCAGGAGAGCAAGCAGATGGGAATGTAACGAGTAGACTGTTTGTGTGTACGTATGTGTGTATGTATGTATGTATGTATGTATGTATCCATGTATACATATATATGTATATTTGTATGTATGTATGTTTGTACATGTGTGTATGTATGTATGTATGTATGTATCCATGTATACATATATATGTATATTTGTATGTATGTATATTTGTACATGTGTGTATGTATGTATGCATTGCTATATGCGCATGTGTGTGTGTGTGTGTGTGTGTGTGTGTGTGTGTGTGTGTGCGTGTGCGTGTGTGTGTGCGTGTGCGTGTGTGTGTGTGTGTGTGTGTGTGTGTGTGTGTGTGTGCGTGTGCGTGTGTGTGTGTGTGTGTGTGTGTGTGTGTGTGTGTGTGTGTGTGTGTGTGCGTGCGTGCGTGCGTGGGTGTGCTTCGTTATTCTTTTGTTACGGATTTGAAAGTTATTTTTTGTGTCTGTTTGTCACCAATTCCATTCTTTAATTCTAAGATTTATTAATTTATTGGTTTCCTATTAACTACTCCCTGAACAGTTCGTTTCTTTTTCACTCTTCATCTATCTATCTGCTTATCTATCTACATATCCATCCGTCACTTTCTGTGTCTATCTATCAATCTATCTGTCTATCTATCTAACTATCTATCAATCTATCTATCAAACTGTCTATCTGTCTTTTTATCTATATGCCTATCTATCTAACTATCTATCAATCTATCTATCAAACTGTCTATCTGTCTTTTTATCTATATGCCTATCTATCTATCTATCTATCAATCTATCTATCAAACTGTCTATCTATCTTTTTATCTATATGCCTATCTATCTATCTATCTATCAATCTATCAAACTGTCTATCTGTCTTTTTATCTATATACCTATCTATCTATCTATCTATCAATCTGTCTATTAAACTGTCTATCTGTCGTTTTATCTATATGCCTATCTATCTGTCCATAAATCTATTTATATATTCTTTGGCTGCCACTGTAACAATTTACTGTATCTACAACCTACCTATTTGATAACTTCCACTACTGCATAGAAACTACTTTGTTGAATAAGATTTCGTTATTCTTATTGTATTTTCTTATTCCATTATTCTTATTGTATTCTTATTGCATTCTCTTTCCATTGTCATTATCGCTTCTTTACCATGACTTGCAATTTACTGACGGATACGTTTGGTAAATTGAGGTCATTTGCATACGAAGGTTTTTGTTATTCACTACACACACACACACACACACACACACACACACACACACACACACACACACACACACACACACACACACACACACACACACACACACACATATATATAGATGTATGTATGTATGTATGTATTTATGTATGTATGTATGTATGCATGTATTTGTATGCATGTATATCTGTATGCACGTATATGTATAAGCAGGTATGAAATATGTATGCATGTATGAAATGAATGGATGAATTGATATGTGTGTGGGTGGTATATATATATATATATATATATATATATATATATATATATATATATATATATATATATATATATATATATATACACACATATATATTAGTGTGTGTGTGTGTGTGTGTGTGTGTGTGTGTGTGTAACGAGTATACTGTCTGTGTGTGTGTATGTGTGTATGTATGCATGTATGTATGTATGTATATATGTATGCACATATGTGTTTGTATGTTTGTATGTATGCATGTATGTACATATGTGTGTATGTATGCATGCATGTATTTATGTATGGATGTACATGTGTGTATATATGTATGTATGTATGTATGTGTGGTTTTATGTGCAACAGTGGGTATTAGTAATGATGATAGTCTTATTGATAGTACGTACTACAGTATTTCTATTGGTTGTGGCATAGTGATTAATATTCATTAATTCTGTTACCACCAATTAATAGATAAGTCAATATTTTCAGAATGTTTTTAGTGATTCAGTGATTTGCTCGTTTTAGATTATATGTATTTTTTTCTTGTTATTGAAGCCCGAGTATGATAGGAAGAAAGAAAGGGAGAGAGAGAGAGAGAGAGAGAGAGAGAGAGAGAGAGAGAGAGAGAGAGAGAGAGAGAGAGAGAGAGAGAGAGGGGGGGGGGGGGGAGAAAGAAAGAAAGAAAGAAAGAGAGAGAGAGAGGGGGAGGGATAAATAGAAATACAGTGACAAACTAACAGGCAGACAGAGAGAGGGAGGAAGAGAGAGAGAGAGAGAGAGAGAGACAGAGACAGAACCAGAGACTTGAGAGAAATGTATAGATCCATACGTACCTACAGAACCCCTAATCCATGCTCTCCCCACACTCTCTCTTTTTTTTACCCACAGCTATACCAGATCCACACCCCCCCCCCCCCCCATCTGTTCTCTTCTCTCGTTCGTTCTCTACAACCATAACCTTTTGCCCCCCTCCCTCCCCCCTCCCCCCCCCAACACGGGACGACAACAGCAGCACCAAAACGTTCAGAAGACAATAACTTCCTCTAACAGTTGGACGAAAGTTTGTTGGTCCCGCAAAACATACCAAAGATTACTTACAAGCCTTGCGAGGGGAGGAAAAGAATCGCAAGTTTGGCCATCGCGTGAAGTTTTTCTTTATGTTTGCGTCAAGACAAACGATTCTTAGGTCTTTTGTTGTTCTTATTCTTCTTCTTTTTCTCTCTTTCTCTTTTTTTTATCCTTTCTTTCTTTCTTCTCTCCTTTTTTTTTTTCTTCTTCTTCTTTCTTTCTTCTCCCGTCCACAGATTGCCTTATCTGCAGTTGACAGGAAGGCGGGGATAGCATCGAGGCAATGAACCGGACTGCAGACGCCACAATGTTTCCCGTTTTCTTTGTTGGAAAGGAGGGTTGCCAACTTTCAGAATTTATTTATTTTTTTGATTTTCTCTCTTCTCTAGGAATGGATATTTGCTGATCTATTCCTCGTTATGCTGTTCATTTCCCTTCTGCATGCAAACCTTCTGCAACATTTTTGAATTTATATGTATGTTTACATTTTACGAGAGGATTCAATCATGGAGTTTGTGCATAAACTTGCTTCATTTAGACATATATTTATTTTTTTTAGAAATCGTGGAAACTCGTTTTGACATACACATATTTATCCCGATATTATACAGCACATTCATCGTTCCTTCCCCTGTTAAATCGTAATGATTCTCTGACCTTTTACAATTCATGTTTAAGTAATACATTAAGTATACTTTATGGTCATAATATACCACCGCCTTCAGTTATCAATTATTCAGGTATTTAGTTATCGCGTATATTTCCAGCAAAACCATGACTTTATAAAATTATCCCTTCTCATATTATGGACATTGATAAATATGTTTTGTAAATATATTTTAGTCACGTTTCCCTGATAAGCAATCGGCCTCTTATATGAAAACATTCGACGGAAAAAAATCATTCTTATTTAATCCCACTCCATCCGTCTCTCCGTCATCACCACTAATTCCACACTCACATATAACCACCACCTCACTATCAAGAGGCTTGCAACACATTGCAACTTTCACTTGCACGCTCTTCTTTTCCGTCGCTGCAACGTTTGCTTTGTCATGCACTGGGTCGTGAGATATTTTTCCTCTCTGCGGGAGGTCGGGTCTGCGGCTCTTTTCTTTCCGGTTATTTCCTGCTTATTCGGGAGATCCGGGTTTTCGGTGCTGTTCATTTGTTGCACACACATATACGCACACACACACACACGTACACACACGCACACGTACACACACACACACGCACACGTACACACACGCACACCACACACACGCACACCACACACACACGTACACACACACACACACACACACACACACACACACACACACACACACACACACACACACACACACACACACACACACACACACACACACACACACACACACACGACTAAGGAATTCCCTTGACAGTTCACCACAGTCATACGTACTTTGTTTTTATTATCATTTCCTTTTCAACTTTGCTATTTTCCTAAACAATTTTTTTTATTAAAATTCCCAAGTGTCATTCCAAGACGTAAGATTTTCTCCGTTTCATCAACCATTTTTCTTCAAAGGAAATGCGGAATGGGCATATCGATAATAACTATAATAACCTTGATAAAGGATAATGACAATAATTGATAAATTAATAAATGAAAGCTTAATAAACATGAGAATTAGAATATTGCGTAAATCCACCCTGACTCAAATGCGCTCCTTAGACCACGGTTGATTTTTGGAATGTCAAGCTAGTTGGACAAAAAAAAAAAAAAAGAAAAGAAAAAAAAAATCATACAGCTAAAACAAAAGTTCTCCAAAGAGGATTGAATGCCTTAGATGTAAAGAGAGAGAGAGAGAGAGAGAGAGAGAGAGAGAGAGAGAGAGAGAGAGAGAGAGAGAGAGAGAGAGAGAGAGAGAGAGAAAGAGAGAGAGAGAGAGTGAGAGAGAGAAATAGAGAGTGAGAGAGAGAAGGAGAGAGAGTGAGAGAGAGAGAGAGAGAAAGAGAGAGAGAGAGAGAGAGAGAGAGAGAGAGAGAGAGAGAGAGAGAGAGAGAGAGAGAGAGAGAGAGAGAGAGAGAGAGAGAGATTGTATCGAATTCGAAAGAGAGAGAGAGAGAGAGAGGGAGAGATTGTATCGAATTCGAAAGAGAGAGACAGAGAGAGAGAGAGAGAGAGAGAGATTGTATCGAATTCG